CTAAGAAATATTCACTCGGTCTCTCAGCTCGCTTTTTATCTAGACAGGGCTTTCAACAGGATTTAGTTTTCCATTCTAAAGAAAAAGTTCTAATTGATTGCGATAATTATAATAATTTTCAATACATCTTACCTCTTGGTCTAGATGAGAATTTTATAGTATTTCAGGAAGCAACAATTTATAATATTAAATATAAGAAAAATATGATTCTTGTAAGAAATTATAATCAAGAAAATTTGCCTTTATTTGGATTGTTGCACTGGATTATAAAACCATTAAATAATGATAGAGTTGGTTTTATTCTCTCAGGTTTTCAAACCATAGGTTTTAATAATCACCTTCATTGCTATGAAGTAACACCAAATATGGAATGGTTTTATGAAGAACATCAAAACCTCGTTTCATTTTATCCAACTTGTTATAAAACGGCTGCAGATGGGAATTCATATGTGTATTATAGACATATTTTATAAATAAAATCAATTTTACTACTAACAAAAAAATTTAATATTTTGTAGTATATAAGAAAAATTAATAGAATAATAAGTTAGCATACATTCTTAATATAAGAACAAATCCAACCTTGTACATATTCTTATTGGTTAAGAATATCTGCTACTAATCTATCCTTTAGAAGAATTTCTTCTGAAGTTAAGAAAATCCTTTTGGTGCCTATTTTAGTAGACACTACTATAAAAATAAGAGGGAAATTCTTAAGTTGAGAATACAATTTTTTCATTATATCCATATAAACGTACATTCTAATAAATAAACCATGCATTTTTTTACCTTTGTGAGAAATTCTGCAAACGCTTGTTGAGGCGATCACTGTATCACCATTTAGTATAAGACAATCTGTATTACATATTATAATGACACCGAGAAGACTAACACAAGAAGTTTTGAAATTATTTCGAGGAATTGAATCCTACGCTGGTAAAGTGCACGACCTGTAAAAAAAAATTAAGATACCTCATCCATCATCCTGCACAAGAATATTAAGAATACACTTAAACAGACATGGAATATATCCCGATGATGACATTCGTACACTACCTGACGACTTAAGGCAATATTACTCGGAATTACCGAGATATAAGGCAAAATGTAATAATTGTGGCAAAACATTATCCTTCTTAAGAGATTCGACAAATTTACGAGAACATTTAAGAAGACATTTTACAAGAATCCAGAGTCGAAATAAGTAAGGACACATTTAAAAAGTTATTAAAATACCAAAGATTATATAAAATAAATGTAATGATAAAACAATCAATAGCTAAAGAAAATTGGGCGAATAAGAGTTTTTATCGGGGCATCCATATAATATTTATTTGCAATTTTGATCCTAAAAGTCCACGTACACTTGGTGCGTTTTTTACCTTTCTTTGAAAAAGATGATATATTTGGAGATCTGTACGCGATCTGATAATTATGCAAATTTTAATTATATAGGTATATCATATATATACATACATTTTAATAAATAAACTATGTTTCTTTTTTACTTCGAGAAAAATTCTATAATTATTACCACACACGCCTCTGTGATTTTGAATTTATAAAGACGTCTGCCCGTCCCAGATTACAGGGATGTCCAGATTTGAATTCTGGGCTGAAATCATATTTTTCACAATAAATTTGTTATAGTTTGTTTCCAAGAGATGTTTTATTTAGCATTTATGATTATTAAGTTAATTATCAATTTAATTACGTGTACACTTCGTCTTTAACTTGAGACTGTGTTTCAAGACCGACAGTACTCACGTGCAGTTTGCTGAGCTGCTAAAGATTGTATATTGCAAAAATATATCATTTGGCACAGAGATCCAGCTCGACCATTGCAATAAAAAAATATTTCTATTACCTACTTGTAAAATTAAATTTTACTACAAGAATCGAATTAAACGAAAAGGAAGGAATCCGATACATGGAAAGAATCAAGTAAAATACAGCATGCAGAAAGAAAAAAAATATTTGCATTTATACAACGTATACAGGACAATTATCATTAATGTTTCTTAATTGTGGCATTACTTATCGGTAATGCTTAAAACCGATAGAAGAAGCAATGACATAGTTTCAGTAAAGAATTGACTGTCAAAAAGCGTGCCTCGAGACGGCAAAGAAAAAAAGAAAATTCTTCATTCATTGTTTGATTGTTTTCATTATTTTTCTATATTAGTTTGAAGTTGTCGAATTTATAGATAGTGCGAAAACATGGATAAGAACACGACTGACATGAAGCCAAACCCCAAGGAGACCGCGAATATCTTCAGTGTTCTATTTTTCTGGTTTGTTATCTCTCCGTGTGCAATGTGTGCGTACGTTCATGTTTGACGCTATTCTTTTCTATCAAGTATTTTTAAAAATCTGAAAAAATTTACAAAACATTTGTCTACATTGTAGTTGACGATTTTATAGTTATTTTGATAAACATCGT